GGGCAGGGGCACCAGAGGTGTTCCTTGGCCATGCTGCCTCTGGCATCTTAGTGTAAAATACCTGCATTTTCCACAACACGTGGACTCGGCATCCTGATCTGCAGAAGTTTGCAGCCCATCTGTCTCCCTTCCAAGCACCCTGGCCCTGCTGTGCTCACTTCATTGATCAAAATTCTTCTAATGGAAATCACATGACCTGCATGCATCTTGGATATTCCAGAATGACACGATGTTTCCCTATAGCGTTTTTTCATAAACCAGGTAACTGTAAATGTGTTGATTTGTTTCTGGACTCTATTCTGTTTCACTGATTTATTTACTTGTCATTTATTGAATTATAATCGACATACATTGTATTAGTTTCAGGTATACTACTTATTTTTCTCTCTCTTATTCCTTTATGACTACTTTGTTTTGGGAAGGAGTAGAGATAAGCTCTTTTTCATCTGGAATTTTTAATTTGGGAATCCTTAAGAACTCACATTACATTGTGCAAACTCAATTATAAAGCATTATCATCTGGTCTTCTGTATGTAATCTCTATTTTTATAGTGGCAGTTACTAGGCAGATAAATGTTTAGAAAAATAACCTATTAAATTTATCTTAAGTTAACCATCTAATAATTTTTCCTCTCTAATAAGGAAAGCATTTACTTCAATTGACTCATATTTTCAATACTAGGAGGACATGAGAAATACCAGACATAATCAGGAAAAAGTCTAAGGTGAAACTTTTAAAGCTTTTGTAAAATGAGCACAGTTTTGGTTCTAACAACTAAATGTTGAAGAACTACATGATAAACAAAAGCTCTTTTGAGTCCAATTTTTCTCTGTGGCAAGAGCTATGTAGAGAGAGTGTGCAACAGGTTTCAGTACAGACTATCTCAGATCCTCACCTTGGGAACCTCCCACGTCACCCTGAGCTGTGCCTCTTCACCATATTGATGGACAACAGAATAGTAAAGCATGAAAGGAAGACAAATCAATTAAATATGCACATGTGCATAGCCCATGGACAGACAACAGTGCAGAGGAAGGCCTGGGAGGGGACAGGAGTGGGGTGGAGGAGGTCAATGTGGGGAAGGGAGAGGACATGTGTAATACTTCCAACAATAGATAAATTAAAAATTCACACACAAAAACAAATATAAATTTTAAAAGATAAGCCTGTAACATTTTTATCTAACAAAGATTTCATTTAAAAAGCCATAATGTCTACTTCATAATTTTGTAGAAAATTGATACTTGTCAAGAAAAAAGAAAACACTAGTCTCAATAATAACAGAGAAAAGATATATCCAATTTCAATGAAAGAAAATTTTACATTATTGCTTCAAATATATTTAATTTTTTCCCCTAAGAACAGATGCCTAAAAAAATTTCCTCACCTGGTCACAGCATCCACCAAGAATGGTGCTGGGGGAGAGATCAGTGAGATCGTGTCTCCACTACCATGTCCCTCCTTCCCCATCAAGGATGGTCCATTTCCTGCGAGTCCATTAGAAAGGACACTGCTCTGCTGAGGGAGACATACAACACGTGAGAGCAGAGGTGACAATGCTCTAAGTCATCTTCCTAATGATTATGGTAATGAGGACAATGATTTTGATGATCGTGGTTGTTTTGGTTTGTTTTTAACCATCCTTTCCTTCAGATTTTTATTTTGTTCATCATTTATAAGCATTTACAAACAGAAAAGTTAAATAGCTAGTTTGAAGCCATTAAGTCAGTAAACAGAATTTTGATAATGACTCCTTGTTTTTAAGGAAAAACAAGAGCCTGGTAATCCTTTAGGTCTCACTCTGAAAGGGTAACCAATAGAAAAATTGCAAATAGTAACTTACTGGCACAATCCACCGGGGCGTGATCATGGATGTTGAAGATACCTAAAATAAATTACATATATGTGTTTATTTTCATAATTATACTCCCCATGCTTTCTTCTACTATGAAATGCATTGGGTGGGGTAGGGAGCAGTTCTTAATGGTCCCTCTGAGCTGACATGAACTTCTGAATCCAAGGTTCTTTTCTACAACACAAATAATTTGGAGAATCTCTTTAATCTAAAAATTTACTACTCCAAGAATGCTACTACTTTCAATTCATTTACCAGACTTTCCCCACCTCAGCATCAGTTTAACATTTTATTTTCTGAAATTTTAGTTCATTACAAATAATTATAGCCTTCTTGGTAGGATTCTGAATAATGGATTGTGACAAATCAAAATGAATAGCACAAAAAAGTACACAGGAAAAAACATCTGTTTATACAGAGATCATTCTCTAATTATCATGCATTCATTAGAAAACAACAATAGAACCACCCATATTACTTCTGCTTCATAGGGCCTTTGTTAGATTTATTTCAACATTTAATTTTCTAGATCTTACTTTTATGTGTATAATTATAATCTAATATACTCCCCTATTTTATAAAAACTTATACTAGCCTTTGCAGATAGCTTTATATTCTGAAAAAAAAAAAGTCCAGGTCTTAATAAGTTATAATCATCAAAAGAATAAAAATACAAAGTATTATTTTCCCATCAATATTAAAGAAAATGGACTCTTACCACTGGAAATGGGAAAGAGAGATAGAGATAGAGATAGAGATAGAGAGATAGATAGATAGATAGATAGAGAGAGAGAGGTAGAGAGAGAGAGAGAGAGTTATAGATAGATAGAGAGAGAGGTAGAGAGAGAGAGAGAGAGAGAGTTACGGTTAAAGTAAACAAAAATGGTTAGGCAGAAACAAATCCTATTATTACCATACTTACAGTAAATATAAATGGATTAAACTCAATCAGAGGATAAAGACTCAAATAAGATTTTAAAAACAAGATGCAACAAAATCTTGTTCATAAAAGATTCATTTAAAACAAACAGATACATAGGAAAGTTGAAAATAAAAGGACAGAAAATTATATACTAGGTAATACAAACTTAAAAGAAAACTATGGTGTCAATTTTATATCAAGCGAGAGGGAAATTAAGAGAGAAAAAAAGGGCAAAGAAGGATACTTTAAAGTACTTAAAGAAACTTAAGTATCATTATCATCAACATATATGTATCTCACAGCCTATCTTTAAAATATGCAAAACAACTACTGACAGATCTAGCAACACGTGAGAAGTGGATTAATCAGTAATTGTAAACAGATATTAAACACACCCTAGAAACTGAGTGAATATTCAAGGGAATCAGTAGATTGACTAATGAAAGAATTCAGCAAATTTGCTAGACACAAAATCAAATTATTAATTCAATAGTAAAAAATTAAATACTGTTCACAATATCAATAAAACTACATTTAGGACTTAACCTAATGAGGAATATAGAAGACTTATAGAGAACATTTAGTGACTCAAATAAAGATAGGAAATTAGAAATATATTTCAAGTTCGTGAAAAGGGATATTTTTTAAATGCCAGGTTTCAAAAAATACATATATTTAATATAGACTCCAAATTAGTGCAGGCAGATTTGAGGGGAAATCTGACATACTGATGCTAAACTTATAGTTGAAGATTTACTAGATATCAGAAAATAAAAACACAACAGTCCTAGAGCAGGAAAAGAGGGCCCACCAATTCACTTGAGCATAAGCACTGCAGTGCAGCACAGTGTGAGTGAGCATGCTGGATGAAGATGAGCTATGCCCCAGGCAGGTGGAGGGGATGGCACAAGATGTCATCACGTTACTCACAATGGCATGTAACTTAAAACATCAATTGTTTATTTCTGGAATTTTCCATTTAATATTTTTGGACCATGGTTTACTGTGGGTAACCAAAACTTTGGATAACTGAAACTGTAGATGAGGAGGGCACTACTGTGTACAAATACTGCATTATAATTTTGTATACCTGGTACACAACACACACACACACACACACACACACACACACACACACACACACACATCAGGTATACAACTATATATAGTATACAAATTTTACCACAATAAAAAACTAAACAACAAAAACAAGAAAAAAAGGAAGAACCCAATGAAGCAGAATAGAAATATTAGTAACAAAACAATTGGGAAAGGATGGATTATTTAGTAGATAATAATCAGAGAATTAGCTTTTTATAAGGATGAAATACATAATTGGGTTATAGCAAAACCACAATTGACATCCCCACCCCCACAAAACTCAAATTGTTCAAATGGGTTAAAATCTAAATGTGAAAAATATAATAAAATTATAGCTAACAGAGAAAAACAGAAAATCTCTCAGGCCCCACCCCACACTTACCAAATCAGAAACTCAGGGTGGAGACTAGCCATCTGTGTTTTTTTATTTTTATTGTTGAAAGTATGACATATTCCCCTTTTCCACCATTGTCCTTTTCTAGTCCCCACTTCCCCCCGCCCCCCTCCCCAGGTCTTCACCACCCTTTTGTCTGTGTCCATGGCTTATGCATATATGGACACAAGTTCTTTGGTTGATCTCTTCTCACCCACCCACCTACCCTCCCCAACCTTCCCTCTGAGGTTCCACAGTCTATTCCATGCTTCTATGTCTCTGGATCTATTTTGTTCATCAGTTTATTTTGTTCATTAGATTCCACATATGAGTGAGATCATGTGATACTTGTCGCTCTCTGACTGGCTTATTTTGCTTAATATATTACTCTCTAGGTCCCTCCATGCTGTCTCAAAGGGTAAGAGATCATCTTTTTTTACTGCTGCATAGTATTCCCTGGTATCCACTCATTTATTGATGGGCACCTTGGGCTGTTTCCAGATCTTAGCTATTGTAAATTGTACTGCTGCTATGAAAATAGGAATATGCATACATTCTTTCTGATTGGTGTTTCGGGTTCCTTAGAATATATTCCTAGAAGTGGGATCACTAGGTCAAATGGCAGTTCCATATTTAATTTTTTGAGGAAATGCCATATGTTTTCCATAGTGTCTGCACCAGTCTGCATTCCCACCAGCAGTGCACTAGGATTCCCCTTTTTCCACAACCTCACCAACACTGTCATATATTGATGGTAGCCATTCTAACAGGTGTGAGGTGATACTTCATTGTCATTTTAATTTGCATCTCTCGGTGATCAGTGACTGAGCATTTTTTCATGTCTCTTGGCCATTATTGGAGAAGTGTAATGGCTTGGGTTGATTTCTGGGGTCTCTATTCTGATCCATCGATCTATATGCCTGCTCTTGTGCCAGTAACAGGCTGTTGATTATGGTGGCTTTGTAGTGTAACTTGGTATCTGGTATTGTGATCCCTTATTTGTTCTTTCTTTAAATTTTTAAGAAATATATATTTTATTGATTTTTTACAGAGAGGAAGGGAGAGGGATACAGAGTTAGAAACATCGATGAGAGAGAAACATCAATCAGCTGCGTCCTGTACACCCCCTACTGCGGATGTGCCCACAACCAAGGTACATGCCCTTGACCAGAATCGAACCTGGGACCTTTCAGTCCGCAGGCAGACGCTCTATCCACTGAGCCATACCGGTTAGGGCCTCTATCTCTTTTTTCAATGTTCTGTAGTTTTCCAAGTACAAATCTTTTCCTCCTTGGTTATGTTTATTTCTAAGTATCTTAAAATTTTTTTTTTGCATTAGATTGTTTTTTTAGTTTCTCTTTCTGAAAGTTCATTATTAGTATATAAAAATGCCATCAATTTCTGGGTGTTAATTTTGTATCTTGCTACATTGCCAAGTTCACTTAATACATCAAGTATTTTTTTTGGTGGAGTCTATGTACAATATCATGTCATCTACAAATAATGAGAGTTTTACTTCCTCCTTTCCTTAGCCATGTTTTAATCACTGGCAGGATGATTCTGTTACACATCCAAGTTTGAGGACTAGTAATCTAAGCAAACATTCAGCACCATAGGCAGTAGCCTTCAGAATATCTAGTTCCTACAGCAATTTTTGTCACATTACTCATAAGTCACTAGATGAGTTATTTGCATACCTTTCATCCACTAGACTGTAAGTCTCTGGTGGGACGGAACTATTGTATTATGATCATAGCACTTAACACAGTATCTCCCATACTACAATAATGATCAATATGTTCAATGCCACCCATTCTTATATTCCCACCTTTCTGTAAATATTTTTAAAAATTAAATATGTCCTTATTGTCTTAACTCTTTCAAAAAATATAATTTGTATTGATTTTAAAGAGGGAGAGAGAAATAGAAATAGCAATGATAAAAAAGAATCATTGATCAGCTATCTCCTGCATGCCCTCCACTGGGGACTGAGCCCACAACCTGGGCATGTGCCCTGACCAGGAATCAAACCATGACCTCCTGGTTCATGGGTCGACATTCAACCATTGAGTTACACTGGCTGGGCTGTCTTAACTCTTCTTAAGCTGGTTTATCGTCACATTTCCTCTATATTATTTACAGTATGGTACTGAATTACAAATAGGCATATGGTAGTGACACACTGTACTGTGACACCCACATTCCAATCGGTAGAATTTTATAGTACAGGAAAGGCAATGCTAAGTGTTACTGAAATAAGAACTCTTATTAAGTGCGAAGTTTTACTAAATTGTTAAAAAGGCCAAAACTGGAATCCAACAGCAACATTTGCGAAATAGAAATTTTTCCCATTTTGGTGTTTTAAAGCATATTTACCTGAGGTGTGACTGTGCTGTCAATCAGATTCTCAGTTAGAGATAAAAGCAAGGCATCAAATTCATCCGTAGCATCCTATGGAGACAAAATATATATAGTTGATAAAGGACCCACTAATCAGACTTTTTCCATATCCTCTCAATTTAAATTATCATTCTGACCGAGGCGTGATTGGTGTTAACCTTTAAACAAACAGGGACATTCAGGAATCATGTTTATTAGTGATTCCACTTTTACTGGGAGGGGAACCTAGACTATAATCAGAATTTTAAAAAGCTAGGCATTATGTGAATTTGCAGATTAGCCATTCTTTCTGGTGAGACAAAATTTGGACAAGGTTAAGACTGTTCTGGTTCCTTTTAAAAAAATCCTTACTTGAGGATATGTTTTTCATTGATGCGAGGAAGGGAGGGAGGGAGAGTGAGAGCGACACCGATCAGTTGCACGCGCCCAACAGAGGATGGAAAGCACAACCTGGGTAATGTGCCCTGACCTAGAATTGAACCCACAGCCCTTAGGTGCAAGGGATGATGCTCTAACAACTGAGCAGCACTGGCCAGGGCTGTTCTGGCTCTTAGACTAGAAGAGAGGGGTAGACTAGAAGAAAGATGAGTAAAGGAGATGTCTGAATTCCAAGTGCTTCTTTATCCAGGTATATGAAAACTTCACTATTTGCGGAAGAGGACAATATGAACTTCCCCATAAATGTTAATTAACACTTTTTGTTTCATTAGTATTTGAAGCACTTTATGGAACACAGTTCTGTACTGCAGAGTGTATGTCTGCACATGCATGTGTGTGTATGGGGGGGGACAGGAAGAACTTTAAAAGTCCAAAAGATAAAATTCCAATCTGGAAATAAGAGAAATAAGTGTCTGATATGTAGTACATAACAAAAAGGACTTTCATTTATACAATTCTATTTCTACCTACCTGCTTTCAGGCCAACTTTAATTTCACACGTGAAAAAAGTGTTCTCTCTCTTCTTACATCTCCCTCCTCCTATCTCACCATCCCATCCTCTGGCCTGGGAGAGTGCCCCAAATAGCTTGTGCATGTCTCTACCACAAGGCGTTAGCATCCTCTCGCCCTTTCTATAATTCTGACCGAGGCCTGATTGGTGTTAACCAATCAGAAGAAACTATCAGGATGTTAAAATAGATACGTTTTAATCTATTTTAATCCAAAGCCTAGCATGCTGTCTAGTGTATATTATATATGCAATAAATCTTTGAACTAAGTGTCCTGTTCCAAAAATCTCAGGTTCCGCTAACAATTTTCAATGGTCAAAGATGTCAATATATCTTTTTAGAATTTTAATTAGCAGAAAGGAAGATCCTGGTTGTTTGTTCACTTAACCCAAAAGTCTGAAAAGTTATATATCCAAATATTAACTACACTGTTTTGGGGTAGTGGGAATATATGTGATTTCTATTTTTTTCTTTTTTGAAAGATTTGGGAAATTTCTACAATAAATGTGCTTATGTAATAGAAGAGCAAAATGATAAATGCTATTTTCAAGAATAATTTTTCATTTAACTTGCAAATTAAAAAATTCACTGGGCAATGAACTAGGTTTCAATGTTTTCTAAACTGGTAAGGGAGTGGGTATGGGAACGGCAGGAGCTGTGATGAGCTGGCCATACTGCAACACAATGACAGGATGCTGTTATTTCAGAAAGTTTATTTCAAGGACTAGTTAGTGCCTACTATGTGCCATGTACAGTTTGAGACACTAAGGAAGCATAGCCAGCACCCAAAAAATCAAAAATAAAAAGACCACCCTAAACAAAAAATACCAACAAATAACACAAAAACGAGAAAAATCCCTGAGGTGCTCTTGTGAGGGATTTGACAATAGGACTCTCCCTAGAGAATTCAGGCTCAATGCTTTTCTCATAGCTTGAGTTCTGGTGTGAATCAGCATCACCAGATGCCCATGGTTGTACTACAGGATTCAACTCAGTATGGTCTTTGGGAAAACCTTTAAAAGATTAAAAATATTATTACCTTTAGAGCAGAACCATTTCCTGCAGGTGTGGTATGTGCTGGAGCAAGGGAATCTTCAGGGAGGGGCACATTATTCTCACTTACTACAGCCCTGGAAAGAAAATTCAAATTCACATCGTGGAGGTCTGTATGAGCTTGGGCAGTGCTTTCAAAGAAAGGCCTTGGGAGAGAAGTGTAACAAATTCATGTGGGAGAAGAAGAAATTACAACTTGTGAGGAGCATGACAGAAGTCCAGGTCACGCTCATATGCTTTTATGAAAACCTTTCCCACCCACCACATAACAGTTTCAAATCCAGGTCAGACTCACTCGCAGATGGATCAAAATTGTGGGCTATTTTGCTTCCCTCCTAAGTCTCACAGAAAAGATTTATCTTGAAAAGAAAAGCAGATACTCAAAAATGATAGATCAATAGATTGATTTTTGTAAAGCTGTTATCAAAGATGTGAATGAGAAGCTCAGTGGAACAGAAATCATACAGAATACCTGAGATATGGGAGAACAGTCAGGAACCATGAGAAGCCCACACTGAATTGTACACTTTACATACTTTATTTTTTTAAGTATTACATATGTCCCCTGAATTGCACACTTTAAAAGGGTGAATTGCATGGTATTTATTATATTTGATAAAGCTGTTACAAAAAAATAAATGGCCTGAATAGACATTTCTCTAAGAAGAAAAGATGTTAATATCTTTAATCGTTAGATAAATGAAAATCAAAACCTCAATGAGACACCTCCATGTGAGGACACAGGCTGGAGAGCTCTGCTGCGAAAGGAGCAACATCTAGAATGCTCCAGGTATTATAACAGGACCAGCCAGGTGAGAGGATGCTAGAGAAAACGTTACCTGGAGGCCCAGCAGTAATGACAAGCAGGTCTAACGCCAGATGAGAACAAGAATAGGTGTCTTACAGATGGCTCAACACCAGGGAGAAAGGGGGAAATGTACAGCCAAAGGTCATCCTCCACTAAGCTAACACCTCCACAGGAAATCCCAGCCCTCTCCAGGATCACTGAAGGTGTGCAAGCGACAGGAGCAGTTCTGTCCAATCCTGCAAGGAGACTGAGAAAACAAGAGATAACCCCTAGACTGGAAAAGTCAGATGTAATTTCTGAAGTGAAAGCTAGGATGGTTGCAGCCACAACACTGAAGCAAATAGAGGCAAAGAGATGAAAAGAAATATGGAACAATTGTGAGAAAGAGAGAAGTGATCAGGATGTTTCAACTAATGAATACTGGATATTCAAAATATAATGGCTTGGCTTTTTTTAGAGTTGGTGTATTTTGCCTTTAGTTAAACTCCATTTTGTTGGAATATAATGGTGTTTAATAGAACATCGCATGTTGCCAAGTCTTCGAATTTATTTAATATAAATTTAATTAAAAAATAATAATGGCTTATGATTTTCTGAACTGAAAAAAGTCATATATCTTCAAATTGAAAGATCACCTTGAACACTAACAATTAAAAAAAACCCTATTCTTAGGTATACAGTAATGAAAATGCAGAACCTCAAGAATGAGCAGTAAAACCTGAAAGTTACCAGAGAGAAAAATAGCTTTGTGTTTCAGAAAGAAGAACAGCTCAGACAAAAGGAGCTGATATGAGAAACAGTGAGTATTAAAATAAGTAATGCTTTACAATGCATTCTCCCAACACTTCGGCAAAAGACTGGTCCTGGGTAGCTGACACTGCTGCCCAACATGGAAAGCAGCACATGTAAAGCTTCTGCATCCATTCTGCTCAGCATGTGTCATGACCCAGCAATTCCACGCCTAGGCATACACCCTAAAGCAGTGGTTGCCAACCCTTTGGACCTCACGCACCACCAGTTGGCAACCGCTGCCCTAAAGAATCCTCTCAGCACATGTGTATACAGAGGAGCACACACAATGTTAACTTGGAACAAGCGCCCATTAATAAAAGAACGAATAGAGTGTGCTTGACTCATGTAACGGCAGTTAATATGAAGGACCCATAGATAATTTTTAAGTATAAACATGTCAAAACAAAAACCATTGAATTATACACTTTACCTACTTTATTTTTTTAAAGTAATACATATGTCCCCTGAATTGTACACTTTAAATGGGTGAATTGCATAGTATTCTAATCTAATAAAAGACAAACATGCAAATTGACCATACCTTCGCTACGCTTTAAGCCATGTCCACCAGCCAATCAGAGCAACTATATGCAAATTAACCCAACCAAGATGGCGGCCGGCAGCCATGGAGCTGAAGTGAGCAGGAGGCTTGGTTGCTCCAGTGATGGAGGAAGCCAAGCTTCCTGGCCAGCTCTGAGCTCCACTGAAGGCAACAAAGTTTCAATTATAGAAGGTAAATAAACCCCAGATACCTGCTTTCAGCCAGAGCTAGAGTGAGCAGGAGCCGGCTCTGAGATCCACTGAAGGCAACAAAGTTTCAATTATAGAAGGTAAATAAATCCCAGAATAAAAAAGAAAAAGAAAAAAAGGAGAGGCTGAAAGCTTCTGTTGCCGGGGGGGGTGGCCAGACTGAAAACGGCCCTCGGCCCGGGCCCCCACCCGTTCACCAGGCCTCTATCCTATATAATAAAAGGGTAATATGCAAACTGACCCTAACAGCAGAAAGACTGGAAATGACTGGTCATTATGACACACACTGACCACCAGGGGGCAGACGCTCAACACAGGAACTGCCCCCAGCCCACAGGCCCTATGCTGGCCAAGGCCAGTGCCAACGGGGCCCCCCCGATTGCCCCGAGGGTTGCCCCACAGATTGACCCTGATCACCGGCCAGGCTTAGGTACCCTACCTGTGCACAAATTTTGTGTACCAGGCCTCTAGCTCAGCCATAAAAAAGGATGAAGTACCAATGCATATTACAATATGGATGAACCTTTTAAATGAAAGAAGCCAGGTACAAAAGGCCACATATTGTACAATTCCATTTACATTAATTGTCCAGAGTTGGCAATTCCAATAGAGGCAGAAAGTAGAATAGTGGTTGCCAGAGGCTGGGGCAGTTGTGGGGATGGGGATGGGGAAGAATGTGGGGACCAAATGGGTGTAGTGGTGCTTTTAGGAGTGATGACAATATTATGGAATTAGATAGTATATACCGTGGTAATAGTTGCGAAACTTTGTTAGTTTACTAAAATGCACTGAATTGTATACTTTGAAAGGGTCAATTTTAAATGTTATGAAAAAAAATGTTATGGTATGGGAATTACAACTTAATAAAAAGATAAAAATGGTCAAAATCTATAATAGCAAAATAGAAGATGTGACAAAGCTTGATATTTGGTATATAGATACAATTTATATAATCTCCACAGTTTTCTCTATGCCTGAAATATTTCATTTCTAAAAAGGGGGTACAGTAATTTTTTAAGTGTGACACAAGCAGAAAAACAGTTTAACAGAAAAGGGAAAGGTCCAGAAATAGACCCATGTTTAGACAAGAACTTAGTATATATTATTTTATTTTTTCCCTATTCATTGAATTTATGATTTATTGGGGTGATACTGGTTAACAAACGTACACAGGGTTCAGATGCATAATTCTATAACACATCCTCTGTATGCTGTATTGTGTGTTCAACACCCCAAGTCAAGTTTCCGTCCATCACCATTTATCCCCCCTATACTCTCCTCGACTTCCCTTCATTCTCCCTTTCTCCTACCCTGGCAATCAACACACTGTTTTCCCTGTCCATGAGTGTTTTTACTATTTTACTTAATCCCCACCACACACACACACAGTTGTCAGCCTGTTCTCTATCCATAAGTCTGTCACTATTTTGCTTGCTAGTTATTTTATTCATTAGATTCCACATACGAGTGAAATCATATGGTACTTGTCTTTTTTTGACTGGCTTATTTCACTTAGCATAATGCTCTCCAGGTCCATCCATGATTTTACAAATAGTAAGATTTCCTTCTTTTTTATGGCTGAGTAGAATTCCGTTGTATAAATATAACACAACTTTTTTTATCCACTCATCTACTGATGGACATTTGGGCTGCTTCTAAATCTGGACTATTGTAAATAACACTGCAATGAGCATAGGGGTGCATATATTCTTTTAAATTAGTGTTCTGAGTTTCTTTGGATAAATTCCCAGAAATAGAATTGCTGGGTCATAAGGCAGTTCCATTTTTAATTTTTTTAGGAGACTCCATACTGCTTTCCACAGTAGCTGCACCAGTCTGCATTTCCACCAACAGTGCACAAGGGTTCCCTTTTCTCCACATCCTTACTAACACTTGTTGGTTGATTTATGGATAGCAATTCTGACAGGTGTGAGGTAATGTCTCATTATGGTTTTAATTTGGATTTCTCTGATGACTAGTGATGTTGAGCATCTTTTCATATGCCTATTGACCATCTGCCTTTCCTCTTGGAGAAGTGGCTATTTAGGTCCGTTGCCCATTATTTAATGAGATTGTTTGTTTTTCTGGTGTTGTTTTATATGTTCTTTAATATGTGTTCTCATTCAATAGGCTGTCTTTTCACTTGTCGATGGCTTCCTTTGCCATGCAAAAACTTTTTAGTTTGATGTAGTTCTGTTTGTTTATTTTTTCTTTTGTTTCCCTTCCTCAAGGAGATATATAAAAAATATATTGCTATGAGAAATATCTGAGATTTTGCTGCCTATGATTTCTTCTAGGATTTTTATGGTTTCAAGTCTAACATTTTCGTCTTTAACCCATTTTGAGTTTATTCTTGTCTATGGTATAAGAAGGTGATCTAATTTAATTTTTTGCACTTATCTGTCCAATTTTTCTAACACCATTTAAAAATATATATATTTTTATTGATTTCAGAGAGGAAGGGAGAGGGAGAGAGAGATAGAAACATCAATGATGAGAGAGAATCATTGATGGGATGCCTCCTGCATGCCCCAAACTGGGGGCATGTGCCCTTGACTGGAATCGAACCCAGGATCCTTCAGTCCACAGGCTGAAGTTCTATCCACTGAGCCAAACTGACTAGAGCCCAACACCATTTATTGAATAGACTATCTTAACCCCACTGTATATTTTTGCCTCTTTTGTCAAATCTATAATAATAAAAGAGTAATATGCCAATTAGACTGGACAGCCAAACATCATTCTGGATGAAACCACAATATGAGGTGTGGGGGGGAGGTGGCGGTGGCGGCAGCAGCTGCAAGGGCCTGGGGGCAGCTGGGGCAGCTGGCAGTAGCGGCAGGGTGATGGGGGCGGCACCTTCTCCCAATCAGCCGGTCATCGCCTCCCGCAAAGGGAGGCCAGACTGAGGCTTAGGAGTGGGCCTAAGCCATCAGTAGGACATCCCCTGAGGGCTCCCAGGCTGTGAGAGGGCACAGGCCAGGCTGAGGGAATTCCCTGCGCCCCCCCCCTCGCCCGCCCCAAGTGCACGAATTTTTGTGTACTGGGCCTCTAGTATTGACCCCACATAAAAATGTGGGTTTATTTTTGAGCTCTCTATTCTGTTCCATTGGTCTATATGTCTGTGTTTTATGCCAGTACTATGCTGTTTTGATTACTATGGCCTTGTAGTATAGTTTGACATTAGGTAATATGACTCCTCCAACTTTGATCTTTTTCAACATTGCTGTGGCTATTTTGGGTCTTTTGTGGTTCCATACAAGTTTTTGGAATATTTGTTCTAGTTTTGTAAAATACATCATTGGTATCATGCTAGGAATTGCACTGAATGTCTAGGTTTTGGATAGTATGAACATTTTAGTGATGTTAATTTTTCCTATCCATGAGCACAGTATATGCTTCCACTTATTTGTATTTTCTTCATTGTCTTATAATTTTCTGAGTACGGGTCTTTTACTCCTTGATTGAATTTATTCCTAGGTATTTTATTCTTTTTGAAGAAATTGTGAATGGGACTGTTCCCTTAGTTTTCCTTTGTGATAGTTCATAATCAGTGTATAAAATGCAACTGATTTCTAGATATTTATTTTGTATTCTGCTACTTTACTGAATTCATGTACAGTTATAGTTTTTTTGGTTCTCTATATACAGTATCATGTTATCTGCAAATTAATAACAATATTCCTTCTTCCTTTCAAATTTGGATGCTTTTTATTGATTATTATCTGGTTGCTGTGGCTAGCACACCCAGTACTATACTGAATAAAACTGGTGAAAGTGGACATTTCTGTCTTGTTCCTGATCTTAATTAAGGGAAACACTTTAGTTTTTGCCCGATGAGCAGAACTTAGTATATTTTAAAGGTTGCATTTCAAATCCTGGCAGGAAAGAAATTATTAAAAATATCAACAACCATTTAGAAAAGTAAGTCTAGAAGTAAAGTGGAGTATATTCTATGCACTTTCCAGCCTTTAGAGTTCAAAGAAACTGGGCCATTATCTACCTTTTGGCAAAAAAAAAAGTTAATGAGGTTATTCTAAAAGGCTCCAATAATAATACTATTAAAAATGTCAACTGATTTATTGGAATTAACTTAAAGGTTAAGTTGAAATTTCAGTTTTACCCCAATAACCAATTAATATGTTTGTTGAATACTAATTATAAAGTCCTACATACAAAGCCAGCTATATTCTTAAGTGCTATGTTGATTACAGTATCTGGAACCAAATATAATTAATCAGAAAATGCTCCACTAAGTTTTGAATAATGAGGAAAAAAGCAGCATTCATTCACTCATTCAACAATGTTTAGCAACAACTAAGCACAGAACATTGAATACACAGTGATGAAAGAAACAAATTGGCATAGAGCAGGGAAAAGGCCCAGAAGACAAATAAATGGCATAATGCCCATTAAAAAAGAGAAAGGCACAAAGGACTGCAAAAGAAAAGCAAAGAAATTTGTTGGACTATGAGAACCAATAGTAAGAAAGTTTATAAGAACGAGGCTATTGGAATGACAGGAAAGTTAACTACCATACCCAAGAGAAATAACATACATTCCTCCCATGTACCTTATAAGATTAAAAATACTTGTAAAGGTTGTTTTTGCTCTGTAACTTCAATCAATTCAAAAAGAATGAGAACATAGAGAGATTAATTAGGACTACCTTCAAATAATCTAAAACTAGGTACTAAGCAGCTATGTAATGGACAGAAGAGTGAATTCAAGTTGTCTTTCAAATAGATACCCTGAAATCATGTGGTGATAGATTGGGAATGAAGAAAAAAGGCTACACAGAAAAGTTAAAAGGAAAAGAACATCATTTAATTTAGTCTAATCATGTGGTGATAGATTGGAGAATAGGAAAAAAGACCCCCCAAAAAAGTGAAGAGGAAGAAAATATCACTTAATTCAGTTTACCCAGAACTGTACCTGTTTGTGGCAGCATCCTGAAAACTGGAGTTTTTATGACTCAATAGGCTATCTTCTCCTGTAACCTAAGAAAAAGAAATAATACACATTGCCCTAGCCAGTTTGGCTCAGTGAATAGAGCATCTGCCTGTGGACCAAAGGGTCCTGGGTTTGATTCCGGTCAAGGGCATGTACCTCGGTTGCAGGCTCCTTCCTGGCCCAGACCCTGACTGGGGCACATGCAGGAGGCAACCAATCCATGTGTTTCTCTCACATTGGTGTGTCTCTCTGTCTTTCTCTCTCTCGCCCACACTCTCTAAAAGATCATTGGAAAAATATCCTCAGGTGAGGATTAACAAAAACAAAACAAACAAATAAAAAAAGAGTATAAATAATAAATCTTTGTGTAGGATCGTAAAGTAACAAGAAACATATTTCTTTCCTGTAAAAACAGAAATATCAGTTTGCTTCAGTTCCAAAAGAAGTAATCATACCTTATCTATGGAAATATCAGTACTGCACCAAGTGCAATCTTATCCCATATCCAAATTAGTAATCCACGCTTCCACTTGAATATATTATATACAAAGTCACATGCTTTACTAGATAACTTCCAATTATTTAAGACACCATGGTGTGTTAGTCTATACATACAGATTTCCAAAAGATTCCATGTCAGAATTTTTTGAATTTACATGAGAAAACAGATGTTAAAGTATATATTTGGCATTTTATTTTTCCCTGAATGCAAGAATTATTTAATGAGAGAATTCTAAAAATTTTTTCTGAATAAATCAACGTTTTTCCTTAACTTTATTGTGGTATCATTTATATATATTAAAATGCACACATTTTTAATGTACAGTTTAATTTTGAAAAATATATACAGGTGCATAACCAACTCTACAAAGAACGTATGTACCATTTTCACCACCCTCAAATGCTCCCTTGAGGCTTCCAATGCAATCCCATCAAAACCCTTACTTACGGCCAACAATGACTGTACTTTCTACAGTTTCATATAAATGGAATCATTATACTTATATTTGGTGTCTGCCTCTTTAGAATAGCTTTTTGAGATTCATCCACGATAGTCCACTTATCACTAATTAATTCTTTATATGCTGAGTAGCATTCCACTGTATGGATATATCATAATTTACCTGTTGACCTGATAATGAACATTTGGGTTGCTTCTAGTTGTTAGCTATTATAATAAAGCTCCTAGGAACTTTCCTGTACCAGTATCTATTTGAACCAACATATTCATTTCTCTTCGGTAAATACCTGAGTGGAACTGCTAAATCATATGTAAGCGTACGTTTAATACACTGCCAAACTCTTTTCTAAAGAGCGTATTAAGCATTTTTTATTCATACCAGCAGTGCACACTGCAGGAGCTCTACCACTGACATCATAGGAATGGTCAGTTTTTTTTTCTTTTTTTTTCTTATTATTAAGGTATTACAAATGTGTCCTCAGCCACCCCATTAACCCCCAACCTCCCCCACAACCCCCCCCCCCCCCCAGGAATGGTCAGTTTTTAATTTTAGTTGCTATTCTAATGAATGTATCTTCTGCCACAAAGTATTATGCTAGGTATAGATTTTTCCCATAGATGCCCTTTATCAGGTTGAAGAAGTTTCATTCTATTTCTAGTTTGCTGTTAGCTTTTATCTTGAAGGGGGGTTGAATTCTGTTGAATTCTGTGAAATGACTTTTCCATAGGACTTGAGAAAATTTTCCTTATTTTTTAACATGGTAAACTATATTGGTATTTGAATAATAACCAACTTCCTTCCTGAGATAAACTCTATGTGGTCAGGATGTACTATCCTTTACATAAATTGTACGATTTGTTTATATTTTGTTAAGGGCTTTCGAGTCCATGTTTAAGAGAGTTAGTCTATCGTTTCTTTTCTCATCATATGTTTTTCTGATGTTGGTATTGGGGTAATAGTAGTCTCATGAAATGAGTTGGAAAGTGCTCCCTCCTCTCTATTTTCTCAAAGCCTTTGTGTAGAACTGTCATTAGTTCTTCCTTAAATGTTCAGTAGATTTCAACAATGAAGTCCTGGATTTTTCTTCATGGTAAGGTTTTTAACTATAAAATAAAATCTCTTTAATTAAGGGCTAGTCAGTTATTTCTCTCTTCTGCAATTCAAAAAATATCCAAAAATATAACTGAAATGTAAAGCAATGACAACTACTACCACTGCCACTACATGTAGTTCCAACACATATTAAACGCTCATTATGTGCCAGGCACTATTCTGTGTCCTTTACATTTATTATCATTTCATCCTGTAACCTACCTTAAGGTAGGTACTATCAAGATCTTTTTTTCAAATACAATTAAACTGAGATTCAGAGAAATTAAATAACTTGCCAAGTCACAAAGCTAGTAGGTGGTAGATTAGAAATAGGATTCAAACTCAAGTTGTTCTATTTATTTTACATATGAAAATATTATGTTTTATGTTTATACTGGCAGGAGAGGATAGATCAAAAGCACAAACAATATTCTTCAAGTCCTCTCAGTTCTTCTCAAGGCTCTGCCTGGGTACAAAAGGGGTAAAATGCATCTTCTCAACAGTACGATGTTTTGAAATCTTGTTCACATGACTTGGTGAGACGGGCTTTTGTCCTGGTTTACTATACAGGACAGTCTGAAGTAGGCGAGCACCCAGGGAAAGCTGACATTGCGAGCATGGATGCCAAAAATGTAATGGGGGCTGGTCTCAACCCGTATATCACTCATAATGTCACAATGGACTCTTTGACCTGTAACTTTCATTCTTATTCCTTAGAACTTCACAATTTTGCCAAATTGAGGATAGAGGGGTGGTAGGAAATAGCGGACTGATTAAAAAACCCTAACATCACAGACTTAATAGTGACAGGAACCTAAGAATCTCTAGATTTTCTGGCGATACAAGAGGCAAAGATTAACCCTTTGAGTGCCAACCAATATCCTAGGAACTATGTTAAAATTGCCAAGGCATTTTTGCTGATTTTACAGCAGTTTAGGAAAAAGTTACGAATCACAAGTAAATGAAGTTACATATTCAAAAACTTAAGGAAACCTTTACTACATTGACATATTTAGCAATATCATCATCACTAATAAAAGCAGACTTAGAACTGGACGCCATTTCGAAGCTTTGATAGCTCCCGGCACTTTTGGTGAAAGACAGGAGGAGTGCAATTGCGCTTCCCGGCACTCTAGGGGTAAGGACTCGCTTTTATAGGATTTTTACCTTTTCAAAAAACTTATTAAGCCCTACGGTGTCTCTACTCTTACTTTGTACCCCGTGACTATTCCTCTTAATCTAGCTTGTATTTAGAATTAGGAAGGCATTTTGCCACCTCGAGTATGTTTCTTGGTGTACTCTCTATTTTTAATCACTAGCTAGGCCACCCTTCCTTAATGTTCATGTATTTTATTCGCTTTTCAGAATTTCCCGGACTCTAAGTTTCATGTTCTTTTCACTTCACCAGGACTCTCTCTCTTAAAGCAGCTTACCTTTTGCACTGCTTCTACTTGAGCCTTCAAAATGTTACTCTTCAAGTCAGGAGGAACTCGCCTGGCGTTCAATCCTGGGCTCTCAATGGCATTATTAAGGCATTTCTCAGTCAGCTTCACCACTTCCTCCTAGATGTTAAAAATAAACTATAAGCAAATCTGATAGTTACATGGAAATAGAAAAGGAGCTGATGAAAGTTCATATTTAGACAACCAGGAAATTATGTGTCTTAAACAGTCATATCCTATTCCAGGAATAGTCAACTCTTACATATAATTTCAAACTAAGGCTTGATTATCACAAACATGAAATATGAGTTGATCGGGACCACAAAAAAACATCTAGCCCCATTTCCTGTCTTGAAGGAACTGAATAACCGACTATATTACCTGGGACAAATGCCTGCACTAACCACACACAAAGAATGTGCCATTCGCTGTCCCCCTCATCACAGCAGGTACGCTCCAAAGTCCCCATGGATCCTCAAAGCACAGATCGTACCAAACAATGCTTTCCTACATAAATGCCTACAATGAGGCACAGAAAGAGATTACACACAATAACTGCTAATAAAATAGAACAATTATAACAATGTACAATAATAAGAATTATGTGAATGTGGTTTCTGTCTCAAAATATCTTACTGTACTGTACTCAGCTTTTTACTAAAGGAAGCCCCTTATGGCTTCTCTTTGTTATATCTGAATTGCCAGCATCACTACTCTTGCACTTGGGGCCATTATTAAATAACACACAAGTACCAGGAGACCATGACAGTCGATCTGATAACCAAAGTAACTATTCATTTCCTGGGTGGGACAGCGTGATAGTTCATCACACTTCCCAGAATGGCATGCAATTTAAAACGTATAAGCTGTTTATTTCCCATTTAACATTTTTGGACCACAGCTGATCACAAGGAACTGGAACCATGGAAAGTGAAATCATAGATATGGGAGGACTATTGCAATTAATTTTCAGTTAGGCTAATCCCTGTAATTCTGTAGCTGTCACCAGGCAGATAATTATGTTTGGATTATTTTATATAGCCACAAACAGGTCACTCTCAGCTATAGACTTATGAAAATGATAGAATAAAACACAAATCCAGTCAATAAAGATCACAATTAAAGCAATATAAATTAACTATTACGAAAAGAAGTGGGAGGAAGCAAATTAGTAAGTTTAAATTATCTACACTACAACTGATATTTTACTTAACTTAAAATGAATGACAATCAATAACAACAACAATTATTATTATTATTACTATCTTTTTAAAATATATTTTATTGATTTTTTACAGAGAGGAAGGGAGAGGGATAGTTAGAAACATCAATGAGAGAGTAACATCAATTCAGCTGCCTCCTGCACACCCCCAACTGGGGATGTGCCCGCAACCAAGGTACATGCCCTTGACCAGAATCGAACCTGGGACCTTTCAGTCTTCAGGCTGATGCTCTATCCACTGAGCCAAACCGGTTAGGGCATTATTATTATTACTATTATTGTTACTATTTAACACTGGTCTAAATAAGAAATGTACTCTATATGTAATACTCTTTGTAATATTTTAAGAAATAGAAACTATTTAAAAAAAGAAAAAAAAGAAATGCACTCTAAATATTTTCTTAGTCACAGATACAGCTTTTGTTCTGTAAAACAGGCTAGCTGGCATGTATGGGGTTATGTACTGCAGCAATATTTCATGTTTAAAATGATTTAATTAATGTGATTATTTAATTTTATGTTTCTTAGTATGGTCTCTACATATCTGCAATTGGGTGCGATCCCAAAATCTGAATGTTTAACAAGCTTTCCCATGTGATTCGGTACATAAAAATCTGAGCATTGCTACCTTGGCCTAGACCAGTGATGGCGAACCTATGACACACGGTCAGAGGTGACACGTGAACTCATTTTTTTTGGCTGATTTTTCTTTGTTAAAAGGCATATAAATATATAAAATAAATATCAAAATATACATCTTTGTTTTACTATGGTTGCAAATATCAAAAAACTTCTATATGTGACACGGCACCAGAGTTAAGTTAGGGTTTTTCAAAATGCTGACACGCTGAGCTCAAAAGGTTCGCCATCACTGGCCTAGACTATATTTATGTGAGTAACTTCCTCATCTTCAGAATGGCTCCTATTAATTGAAATAGGTCCTTATTGTCCTTCTCTGAGCAAGGCTACTTCATGTCTTATGATCCAACAATTCCACTTCTGAGGATATATCCAAAGGAAACAAAATCACTAACTTGAGTAGATATACTCCCATGTTCACTGCAGCATTATGCACAATAGCCAAGATATGGAACCAACCTATGGGAACATTAAAGAATGAGTGGATAAAGAAAATGTGGTGTTTGTGTGACTGTGTGTATATACATGGAATAGTATTCAGTCTTTACAAAGAAGGAAATCCTGCCATTTGCAACATCGTGGAAAATGCTGGAAGGCATTATGCTAACTGAAATAAGTCAGATAGAGAATGACAAATACTGCATATTATTTATATGTAAAATCTAAAAAAAAATTCATATAAACAGAGTAGAATGGTTGCTACCAGAAATTGAGGGTGAGGAGGATAGGGAGAGGTTGGTAAAGGGTACAAGCTTTCAGTGATAACACGGATAAGTTCTGAGGATCTAATGTACAGCATGGTGACTATAGTTCATTACATTGTTCTGTACACTTGAAATTTGCTAAGAGAGTAGCTGTTAAACATTATCACCAAAAAACAAAACAAAACAAAATGATAACTCTCTGAGGTGATGAATGTGTTCATTTAATTGCAGGAATCATTTCACAATGTATACATATAGCAAATATATTACAATTTTATTTGTCAACTAGAGCTCAGTGTATGAAATTCATGCATTGGGAGGGAGGGTCCCTCAGCCAGGCCTGCACCCTCTAGCAGTCCTGGAGCCCCGCGATTGATCGCCCCACAGGGGAGGCCCCGCTCACTCGCTGCAGCACTGCCTGCAGGGTAGCCTGGGCCTCCCTCTTTGGGGCGATCAATCGCAGGGCTCCCGATCTATTACCCTGCAGGGGGTGGCCTGGGCCTCCCTCTTTGGGGCGACTGCAGAGCCCCCTGATTGATTACCCTGCTGGCCGGTGGCCTGGGCCTCCCTCTGCAGGGTGATCATGGGGCAATGGCAGTGCCCCCTCCTCCCCAATTGCATCGCACCTGCCTTGGTTGGCCTGGCTTGCATATTACACTTTTATTATTATAGATTTTATCTCAATAAAGCTGAAAAAAATTATAGCTAGTTCAAATGCTTTGACATTTTCTTTTCAGAGACAATTATGTTGGAGACCTGAGATGACTTAGTAATCATATAATAGGGTTGTCAGAGCAACCTGCCTCTGACATAGGCAGATATTTATTTTCATGCCTATATTAAAAACAAAAACAATAGTTCAACTAACATCGCAGGTAAAAGTATAAATTGTTGCCATCTTTCTGGGAGGCAATTTTGCAAAAGTACCAAAGGCTTTAAAAGTCTGCCCTGCCTGTACTTTGACCTACCACTTCTACTTCCGAGGGGGAAAATATCAAAGATGATTGCAGATATTTATGTATAAGACTGTCATGCACTAAGTAGGACAGTGAAAATTAGCCACAATATGTCTAATGAGGACTGAGTAAACACATTGATGACTAATGCATGCAACTTAATTATTGCCTGTAATGTCACTGAAAAAAAGAATGATGTTTACAACTGATTAGTTTCAAAAAGCAGTATTATTGCTTTTTAATTTAAAAAAAAATATCACATTTAAATGTTTAAAGGTACATGTTTCTGCTTTTTAAAATTTTCTTTAATTTTAAATTATCATGTATGTGTACAATTGAAAAATTTACTGAAATACAAGTTGAGTAAGAGCTTTAAAATATTTTCACTTAATTTTCTTTTAGCACAAAACTCCAATGGCACCCAGCTGCTGATATATCTGCCTTGGATGGCCAAAATGTGTCAAACATAAGACCAAAAGAATTAAAAGGACACCTGATTCCTAAATACCCCAATTAGAACTAATCTGAAATGACCCTCTACCGCAGAGAAGTCCTTGGCGGTCAGGTGCTTATGTCAGGGGTTAAAGGCACCCCAAAGTCTGCTTAAGTTCTCAACCCATGTAACGAACACTCACTCTGCTTCTCCCCTCCCCAAGAGTCATCAGCTTCATTCTCTTTTAGTTTCATTCAAGTCCTCCACTAAATCTGTGTCAAAATAACCTTCTGTCTCTGACCCCGCATTCTCCTACTTTACAGTGATAGTAAAACAACTGACAATGTGAAAGCACACAGACCAATATAATTACAAATATCGAGGTGATCAAGAAAATAAAAGCCTTCCTGAAATTTAATCAACTTGTAAAAGACATTTCTAAGAAAAAAAAAGACATTGAAAAAAAAAACTGGATTCAAAAGAACAGCTTTAACAAATGACTAGGTAAGAAAGAAGAAAATCACTCTCTACTTCATACTTGTCTCTGAAAAAATTCCCATTAGTTATCCAGGGATGAAAGAACACTGCAGATCAAGTGTTCTCCTTTCCTCTTTAAAACCAAATTAAAACAGGATTCATTCAACAGAGCCTTGCTATCTGTTGTCTATACAAGGGTGTCTCCAGATCATTACCTAAAATTCACTCTTCCATTTAGTGGGGACATCGGGTAGCTAAAACAATTAACTATTTTTATCTCATTCAATTTATTTTAAATATTGCATGTAGAAGTAAGAAAATGCTATGCAATTAACTAAAGTTTAATTGGTATGCACCCTCACCCTCCACCCAATGTCTAAAAACTCCAAGGAGACAGGGTGGTGAAAGGTATGAAAGATAAATCTGAAGCATCTAGAGTTCTAGTCTCTTCCTTGTTTATATTACAGAGCAGCTCCTTTCAAAAAAATCCTCCTATAATTTCAAAAGCCATTCACTAAGTTCTTCAACTAAATCAAGACCCACTAAAAAGAATGAAGAAAAAAAAAGGCTGAATCAAAATTAAAAGTTACCATCTATATCACTTTTGACTATATGTGTAAAAAAATTATGAGATGACCTTACAGTTCTTAATGCCAATGCTTAAGTTTCTCTTTTCCTCCTAAACATCTGAAAATTTCTCCTTTTTAAATGAGAAAACAGGTTTATAAGAATCCAGCACGGACAGGTATCCCAGCAAAAGAGAAGAAAAAGTATTAGCTTTGGAAAGAAAGGATTTCTGGGAAGTCTAGAGACGTGTGACAGGTATACAAGGAGAAATCTGAGTACCTGGTTGTTGATGTTAACATCAATGTTGGGACGAGGGGAGGGCAATGAACCGTTTTCTATCTCAAGGTGTTTCAGCTTCTCTGGCGCATCTTTTAATGCTGAAAAAAAAAAGGGCAAAATAGCCTCTTAGTCTGCCACGCTGTCACAGCTGTGTGAGGGTATCATCAATTAAAGGGTTAGGACTACAGAATAAAGATATTTTCTTTCTGTAACCAGGTAACTCTCCATTAATTTGAATAAGAGTTAACCTAAACAGCAACATTGGCCTGTATCTTCACCGCTCCTAAAAAGCCACTACGTATGGAATCTCAATAGCATGTGTGGTTAAGAAGGCTTACTAGTCAAAAGGTTCAAAGAAAATGCCTGGCCAGTGTGGCTCAGTAGTTGAGCATCGTTCCATGAACCAGGAGGTCACAGATGGATTCTTGGTCAGGGCGCATGCCCAGGTTGCTGGCTTGATCCCCAGTGGGGGGCATGCAGGAGGCAGCCGATTGATGTTTCTATCGCTCTATGCCTCTCCTATCCTCTCTCTCTAAATCAATAAAAATATACTTTTAAAAGACTTAAAAAACAGGCAGAGCCCAAGCTGGTTTGGCTCAGTGGATAGAGCGTCAGCTTGCAGACTGAAGGGTCCCTGGTTCTATTCTAGTCAAGGGCACCATGCCCGGGTTGCAGGAGGCAGCCAATCAATGATTCTCTCTCATCATTGGTGTTTCTATCTCTCTCTCCCTCTCCCTTCCTCTCTGAAATCAATAAAAATACATTTTTTAAAAAAAGGCAGAGTTCACCTGTGACACGATCCTTTCTTCTATAACCACAACCCAAGCTCCTCCGGCCAAACCTCAGTACTTTGCCATTTTCTTTCCTTGGCCCTAAAAATACACAGCCTAAAACTAAACTATGTGGAGCAAACTGATGAAAGATATATATTTATTCATTCACTGACTCAATATATTACATATTGGACACATTAGGTGTGATGCAGGACAAGCATTTTGTCTTATGTTCCACCTTGGCTACAAAACACATCTATAATAAAAGGGTAATATGCTAATTAGACCGGATAGACCAGACATCTTCTGGTCGTCCGGTACTCCTTCCAAAGCCACGGTGGCAGGGGCTGAGACAGAGGCGGTTAGGGGCAATCAGGCTGGCAGGCAGAGGCAGTTAGGGGCAATCAGGCAGGCAGGAAGAGGGGTTAGGGGCGATCAGGCAGGTAGGCAGGCAGAGGGGGTAGGGATGATCAGGCAGGCAGGCAGGTGAGTGGTTAGGAGCCAGTGGTCCCAGATGGTAAGAGTGATGTCCGACTGCCCACAGGGATCAGGCCTAAACCAGCAATCGGACATCCACCAAGGGGTCCCGGATTGGAGAGGGTACAGGCTGGACTGAGGGACTTTCCCCCGCCCCCATGCACGAATTTCATGCACCAGGCCTCTAGTATGTATATATAAAAGCCTAATATGCAAAGTGTCCCCTTGGGAGTTCCACCATTCCCAGGAGTTCAGTTGCTTGCTATGATGTGATCTGATCATCAGGAGGCGGCACAGAATGAAGGAAGGCTCCAGCTGGCAGCCGGGGAAGGAAGGCTCCAGCTGGCAGCCGGGGAAGGGAGGCCCTGGCCGGCAGCTGGCAGCAGCTAGGAACCCTACCTGTGCATGAATTTCGTGCACGGAGCTTCTAGTTACAAATAAAGTCCTCTAACCAGTGAAAAAATAATGCAGTTAACACAATTCAGCTTTAAATGAACTCTATTTAAATTAACCACACTGTAATAATCTTATACAGGGACTAATTGATATGAGTTGGAATTTTTACATGTTCATTTGACCAAAAAAAAGCTGTTGAATGCTTAATAATTTCTATATAGTCAGGCAGAAGAAGGGAGAAAAAACTATTAAATCATTTCCTCCTGGTCAAAGAGATCATATAAAAGTATACAGCAATTAACTCTTGGCTGAACATATGAACCAGACGTGGAGTTTTTAAGTAATACTGCTTCCCAGAGCTGACCTCAGAACAATAGTATCAGAATTTCTGGAGGTAGTTTTCTGGCACTGGTAGTTTTTAAAACTCTCCCAGTAATGAGAACCACTAATTCAACACTGATCTCAAAATCACCCATACTCATTTACTTCATTGCCATCTCCTGGTTTTCTTATGTTTCAAATTATTTGATGCTAAATTTTAATATGATGATGTTGAGACCACAAATGCTTTAGCTTATGCTGATAAATTAATAACATTGGGTTTGGGGTGGGGTTTTGGGGTATTTTTTTGCTGTTGCTGCTTATATAAAGCTTCTTCTGCTACATCTGTTTGGCTGAGGAACATCCTGAGATTGTAAGATAAGCTGTTTTTTAAAAAGTTACTATTTATAACTACTCAGCTATGTGAATCAGGATTTTCACATTACAACCAAAAGAAAATAAAGAATAAATTGGATACCAAGATTCTATGGCCTTAATTCTTCATACCAAAACACTCCATTTTCACTGTCTTTGAGCAAATGCTATAAATCTGCACTAAGTCTTATTAATGAAACTCTCACACTATGCAAGGATTTCTTCTATCACAACTTCAACAGCATTTAAGCTCCCCTTGAATATCTTCTAAAATGAGGGCTCACTTACTATTTGTTAGGTATCTATTTCTGATATATGGCAGAAACATTTTTAAAATCCTTTTCTATACTAATTGCAAATCTGCTTCTCTGTACTTGCAAATTACAGGTCCAAGAGTCACCAATAAAGTGTCATAAAATAAATTCTTTGCTATATCATGCTTTCAAATATTTGAAGAGTTATTACATCTCATATTATCTTTTCTAGGCAACCCTCATTCATCCTACCATATTCACCAAAACCAATACAATTTCCTAAAATGTATGTACAAAGTAAATGTTGTTTGCTAATACAACACTATTGCAGCACTGTTAAAAACTTTTAAAATTGCCCTGACCGGTTTGGCTCAGTGGATAGAGCGTTGGCCTGCAGACTGAGGGGTCCTGGGTTCGATTCCGGTCAAGGGCATGTACCTTGGTTGCGGGCACATCCCCAGTGGGAGGTGTGCAGGAGGCAGCTGATTGATGTTTCTCTCTCATCGATGTTTCAGGCTCTCTATCCCTCTCCCATCCTCTCTGTAAAAAAATCAATAAAAAATATATTTTAAAAAAATAAAAAATAAAAACTTTTAAAATTCATATAAGGGACATAAAATGAAATGTAAATAAAATCAACACTGCCAACTCCATAGTGGAGAGTACTTTCATTGTAACCCTGGAAACACTCCATATGAAGCTAATCCTGCTTCTGGTTGAATCTAAATTCTGCTGGCCTTAAGTTTCTTGTCTCACATCTTTCTAGTGACAAAGAGTGGTCTTTGCTAACAAAAGGTAGAGTCCAGGACAGGGCTGTAAAAACTGGAAACGAACCTAAAGAAATTATGGCAAAGAAAGTATAAGACAAACAGTAATGGAGGATGTTTTCTTAATCCAATAACTAACTACTATCTTTAAAATAAAATTAGAACATTATTCTGAAATTACCAACATAATAAATTTAAGTTAATTTTTGTTTCCCTAATTTCAGATTCATAAGCACAATTCAAACATAGTAGATGTCTATAAGAACATAAAATCTTGAACATATCAGAATATTTGTTTAACCATGCATTTGTAGTGGTTACTTAGAGAACAAAAGAACAAACTTTTAATGCCACTTACCAGTAGTACTACTGCATGTTCTACTAACCAGAAGCACAGTGTAACTTTTCATTAACACTTCCCATCTCTAAATTACTATATACTACTGCTGTATTCTATATAATGAAAGACAACAGCATACTCAATGGCAATTACCAATCAAGAGCCACATAAATATGAGCTGCTTTTAAAATGAGCATACATTACACTGAGATTCAACAGGAAGTTTCTGTTTAAACACAACTTATACTTTAGTATCAAACCAAATTCACAAATATTAGAAATTTTCAATGTTCAATATACTATTATCTTTTAACCTTTTAAAATATTAAGGAAAGCAGTTTTCTTTCTGGATTATTTACTTTTTATAGGTCTGTGCAACAACAGTCCTCATAAAAACAAAATACTTTCTAGGAGCTAATGGAATGTCCAAACATTTACTCAATCCTGAACCTTAAAAATCTTTCAAGAAACGTTTTCTCTGAATTTTCACTCAAGAAACTAAGTGAAAAAGCAAGTTTGAAAATGTACAAATATTTAATGACTTATATATAAGTGATCAAATGTTTAATGGTCTCAATTATGCAATCTTAAATACTTCAATGAACCCTTAAGCCAAGAAGGCATAACTCTTTTACATTAATATTTAAAATTCAACTACTACATAAAATATTCTTGAAGGAACTGACTTAAGTAGCTCATTTACAAGGGAGGTAAAATAAAAGGTGTCATTGATGTTATACAGAATATTTACTCACTCCTGCCTTCAACTTCAGGTTCCTCTAATCCGGTTTGCCTGGGGGCTACATTAATTTCATCGGGTGATTGCAATGTTTCCACAGTGTTAGGTGCCCCAATTACATCATCAATAGTTGTTTCCAATAAGGCTGGACTATCTAGCAAATCAATATTCGAAGGCAAGCTGTAAAGATAACAGAAAACTTATTTAGACCAAGAAATTTATCATGAAAAGAATTTAAAATCCTAAGAAAAAATCTTTATTGGAAAAAAATTCATGTAAGAGTTTATATTCCAACTAGTTTATTCATCTGTCAAAACATTTTGGGTAGACTTTTCTATCAGCCAGGATGGAGTAAATGGCACTGGATTTAACGTCCTACTTGAAATAACTTAACAAGGGGGAAAAACTGTTTTCAAGACATCAGACATCAGAAAGCAAAGGACAGTGATTCTGAAATTCGGGAAACAAAGAAGGTGAGCCCTACAGTTGCCTTGAGAGAATTTCCATGCCATGACGCAGAGAGGGTGAAATGAGGCACAGTCCAGAGGGACTCCCTTAGTCTCTTCTTAATAAGTAAGATGAGGCTGAGACTTCAGGGAGACCACGGCAGCTAAGTTTACAGGACAGGGTACCAGACAGGAGAGAGCAGCACTTCAAGAAGGGGATGAATCCTGGAGATGTGCAGAAGGTCCCCCTCTCAGGTATTCAGCAAGTGCTGGTCAGAGAATGCATGTGAGGAAACTCTCTGAGGCTAAGAAAAGAACTATCCAGAAGGATTTCCTCCCTCCCTCCGTTTGGCTGGGGAAAGTACTAGTGACACTTGTACTGGACCAGAGTTCCTGTTTCCATAGACTAAAAACTCATAATTAACAGGGCATTGAGTATTTAGGAAGGTCTTGCCTCAATCATGGAAAATAATTAACTCAGACTAAGCATGGCAACAGGCCCACCTAACCCAAAAAAATCAAACTGTTTCTAAGTAATTTAACTACATCCCAAAACAAAGTTCAAGAAATTTTAGAGAAATATAGAACTACCTAGCATCAGGTAGGAAAGTTAAATTTGTTAGGTGAAGAACTTGGTAAATTGTCAGACATCCACTCAAAGATGACCAGGAATGCAAAGACATCCCATGTTAAAGAGAGTAATCAACCAATAGAAATTGATGTTAGAATTAACAGAGAAATTCATTAAATAGTTATTATATGGCCGAAACTGGTTTGGCTCAGTGGATAGAGCGTCGGCCTGCGGACTGAAAGGTCCCAGGTTCGATTGCGGTCAAGGGCATGTACCTGGGTTGCGGGCACATCCCCAGTAGGAGATGTGCAGGAGGCAGCTGATCGATGTTCCTCTCTCATCGATGTTTCTAACTCTCTATCTCTCTCCCTTCTGCTCTGTAAAAAAATCAATAAAATATATTAAAAAAATAGTTATTATATGTATTCCATATAATCAAAAAAGTTAAGCAAAGACATGGAAGATATAAAAAAGACTCAAATAAAACTTCTAGAGATGAAAACTACAATATCGAAAATGTAAAATATATTAGATGGGATTGACAACAGATGATAAGTCAGATAAGAAACTAAAGGCATAGCAACAGAAACTATCCAAAATAAAACACACAGAGATCAAGAATCCCCCAAAATGAAAAGAGTATCATTTAGCTGTGGGATAACTTCAAGCTGTATGGTAACTGGAGTTCCAAAGTGGAGGTGGGACAGGACAAATGTTTAAAGAAATAGCTGCTGAAGTTTATCAAGATTGAAAACTATTAGCCCACAGATGCCAGGGCTCCTCACACAGGGCACACCTTGCTGAGGCTACCAGCAGACCCTGAGCAATGGATGAATGGATTACTTTGACAGTTTCACTGTGAAAGAGAGGCTAAGGCAGCCGTGGGCAAACTACGGCCCGTGGGCCGGATCCGGCCTGTTTGAAATGAATAAAACTAAAAAAAAAAAGACCGTGCCCTTTTATGTAATGATGTTTACTTTGAATTTATATTAGTTCACACAAACACTCCATCCATGCTTTTGTTCCGGCCCTCCGGTCCAGTTTAAGAACCCATTGTGGCCCTCAGTCAAAAAGTTTGCCCACCCCTGCTTTAAAGGATGCTGTTTTCAGGTCAATGTTTTTAAGTCCATCTGCTTTCTCACCATTGTTTTCAAG